GCATCAATGGATAGAAAATAAGGAATTAATGCAAAGGTTTTATTTAATCATTTTCATATTTAATGAGGGGAGGTGGAGGGAGCAACCAAAAAAGACTAAATATAAGCAGAATTAAACTTCAGGTTTAAGGGTATTTAAAGTGAGATTTATTTGAGTGGTTACCAGAAAATAATTAGAGGAGACATCTTCTATTGGTATTTTGTCCAATGACAACTGTCTAAATAAGGAGGTGCTTTCCTCTAAATTTGGAGAGATCCAAATCTAAATCCTTGAGAAGCATTGAGCAAAATAAAAAACACAAAACACAACGTGACAGGGGTTTTACCCTTGTTAAGGAAACTTAGTCATTAATAAAAAAAACAAGTGCAACTGGAACTAATTCACCTCACAGGGAAATGTATACAGGACATGCAAACCCTCAGGGCAAAAAACAGACAAGATACGGTGCTTTATGACTATGAAAACAATTTGCCATCTGTCATATTATCAGGAACTCACTGTAACGTAAAGTAGCACTAAAGCCAGCTGCAAGAACCTGAAAGAGACTGCCGCCCCCTGATGATGTGTAAGAGGGCATGCACAGTGTGGTGTAGATTGCCCCTAAACCTCCGGGGATGTGTGACACGAGAATCCCAAGAGTCTGCAGGCAGCTGGGGCTATGTCATTCTAACCTAGATGGGAAAGGCAGAAGCCGGGGCTATGTCATTCTCACTTTCATGAGAGAGGCGGAAGCTGGGGATACAATATTCTCAGCTAGATGGAAAAGGCGGAAGCTGGGGATACAATATTCTACCCTAGATGAGAAAGGCGGAAGCTGGGGATACAATATTCTACCCTAGATGGGAAAGGCGGAAGCTGGGGATACAATATTCTCACCTAGATGGGAAAGGCGGAAGCTGGGGATACAATATTCTCAGCTAGATGGGAAAGGCGGAAGCTGGGGTTACAATATTCTCACCTAGATGGGAGAGGCGGAAGCTGGGGATACAATATTCTCAGCTAGATGGGAAAGGCGGAAGCTGGGGATACAATATTCTCACCTAGATGGGAAAGGCGGAAGCTGGGGATACAATATTCTCCCCTAGATGAGAAAGGCGAAAGCTGGGGATACAATATTCTCACCTAGATGGGAAAGTCGGAAGCTGGGGATACAATATTCTCACCTAGATGGGAAAGGGGGAAACTGGGGTTACAATATTCTCCCCTAGATGAGAAAGGCGGAAGCTGGGGTTACAATATTCTCACCTAGATGGGAAAGGCCGAAGCTGGGGATACAATATTCTCACCTAGATGGGAAAGGCGGAAGCTGGGGATACAATATTCTCGCCTAGATGAGAAAGGAAGCATGAGCTATGCCATTCTCACCTGGATGAAAAAAAAGGTGGAAATACTTTTGCACAGCACTTTAGTCGATTCCTTCAAACACGGGTTATAACAACAAATTTTTCTGACATTTTGCTCCCACATCTCATCCTTTCCTGTAGGCCACTTCGCCAAACTTCCTGTTGCAGCGCACACATACTAATAACCGCAGTAATATTCATTTGTTTACAATAATCGGAACTACAGCCCCAATCATGCATAGTGCCAGCATGTCTTTGAGAAATGTAGTACATGTGAGGATGCTGCCTATGCACACACACCCTGTATTCCTCACCAGGGGTGTACACCTAAGGTCAACTACAAAAAGGCCGCACACGATGCTGCAAGCTGAAAAAGCAGAAAAGGGAAAGGAGATTGCAAAGGGAAGAAGCACACATTAGCAACGAGCCCACCAGGGAAATGAGCCCGCAAAGCAAACAAGGGGCCCGCAAGGAAAGAAGGAGCCTGCAAAAGGAAAGAAAGAGACCACAAGGTAAAGAAGCCCGCAAGGAAAGAAGGAGCCTGCAAGGGAAAGGTGCCACACACCCTGTATTCCTGTACAGATGGGCTGCACAGGATGCTGCAAGCGGAAAAAGCAGAAAAGGGAAAGGAGATTGCAAGGGGAAGAAGCACACATTAGAAACGAGCCTGCCAGGGAAATGAGCCCGCAAAGCAAAGAAAAGGCCCGCAAGGAAAGAAGGAGCCCGCAAAAGGAAAGAAGGAGCCCGCAAAAGGAAAGAAGGAGCCCGCAAAAGGAAAGAAGGAGCACGCAAAAGGAAAGAAGGAGCACGCAAAAGGAAAGAAGGAGCACGCAAAAGGAAAGAAGGAGCACGCAAAAGGAAAGAAGGAGCACGCAAAAGGAAAGAAGGAGCACGCAAAAGGAAAGAAGGAGCACGCAAAAGGAAAGAAGGAGCACGCAAAAGGAAAGAAGGAGCACGCAAAAGGAAAGAAGGAGCACGCAAAAGGAAAGAAGGAGCACGCAAAAGGAAAGAAGGAGCACGCAAAAGGAAAAAAGGAGCACGCAAAAGAAAAGAAGGAGCACGCAAAAGAAAAGAAGGAGCACGCAAAAGAAAAGAATGAAAGAGCCCGCAAAGGGAAAGAGCCCGCAAAGGGAAGGAGCCACCCTAAAAACAGAACGTTAAGGCAAAGCACAGGGAACAAGCATAAAAAGGAAGATTTTTCAAAAAAAAAAAAATAAATCCTCATACAAGTCTTTAGGTCTGAAGTAGAAATTGCTAAAAAAAGAACAAAATTCAGGCTTTGATATCACTTTATGACTTTTCAACATCTTGCCGAGAGCAAAGAAAGTGTGAAGACAGAACGTCACAAAGCCCATTTACCTCAACAGGTATCTGATCACATCCCAGGCGTCTCTGAGCGGCTCCAGATAAACTTCTATCCTCTTGTAAGCGACGACCAAGTTGAACAAGTCAAACGCCTGCGTCTTATTCGTAGCCTGAGGGGACTCGGGCCGAGAATCCGTCATCGTGGGACTGCTGTCTGACCAGCCAGTGCCGCCGGAACACAATGCATCCTTCTCCGTAGCTTGCATGCTGCGAGGGAGAACATAAGACCTGGTTACACAGTATGAACGTTACACCATTCCACTCCACCCAAGACATACACAAATGCTTTGAATATGTTGAACTGAAAACCTCTTCCTCGCCAAGCGCCTCATGAGCTTCCAAAGCATTTTCGGTAGTGCAAACACGACCGATCCGATCACAGGGAACTGGCGCACGGCGACAGATCCTTAATCTCGAAACGCAACCAAATATATGCTCAAAGGTCAGATCGGAGCCGACAAGCGACAGGATTATAGTGCATAACATAAACAAGGTTGTGTGGTTACTGCCCGCTCTCTATGGATGTGGGACGGGCTTGCTGCATAATTGCCTTTTGTGTCAGAAGAGCTGAAAGTAATTTGTAGGTGACGAGGACGCACCTCCCGTCTGCCTGTCACCTGCTGAAAGTTCCATTTCTGACCTGCCCGTCATGCAACATATAACTCTGCACAAGTGAAGTCTTTATACGGAAGCTTTTTGTTTGCATGCCTCTCTTTACCACAGGTATGGACAGAAGTAACACAGTGATAGGCAACCTTGGCACTACAAATCACATCATGCCTCTGCCACTGGGAGTCATGCTTGTGGCTGTCAAGAGTCTTGCAATGCCTCATGGGACTTGTAGTTCCAAAGCAGTCGGAGTGCCCAGGTTGCCCAGCCCTGCGGTAACATATATAAAGTTGGCGAATACTTTCTAGGTGTTATGACACATGGGCTAAATGTTGAACATTCGGTGCGCCAGTATGGTGTATACAGTAGAAAGGCATCATGGCACACTCACAAACCAGCATGTAAAACAACTTGTCTCACCACTAAGGACAATGACAGAGGTTTGGATACACGTCTTCTGCAAAGGATGTGTAAGCCGCACTGCCGCGCCAAGGCACCTCTTATAGTGCGGTCCTAACTCTAAACTATGAGAGTCTCCATCTTGGAGCACATGGGGCAGAAGATATCAAATTGGGTGCAGGCCTGTCAGGAGGACGCCCCACCTCCTTAAAAAGGTACAGAAACACACAAGGGATCCCGCACATCCCATTGGCAGCTGAGAAACCCCATGCGTCGCTGCACCAAATTGGTAAAGCAAAACAAACGACAAAACGCACTCAACAATTTGTATACGTCTACCTCTAAAAGCTGAACTCCAGGATATGAAAACACTAAGGCCTGGTTCACACCTGTACGTTTTGTAGCGCGCTCAACGCTCTACGAACGCTCGACAAAACGCTCAAACATGACAATCCCATTGTTTCCTATGGGTATGGTTCACACCTTGCCGTATTTCAGCCCGTCTGAACGCGCTACAAAACGGCCTACGCCTGAAAAGGTACAGGAGCTTCTTTGCGGCGTTTTTGTCGCGCGTTTCCATTGGGATACAGCCAAGTAGCCCTCGGAAACACGCGTTTGTCTTGCGTTTTTTTACCGCGAATCGCGGTAAAAACGTGTGTCACGTAACACGCGACAAACGCGCATATTCGATACGCCTAGGTGCGAACAGAGCCTAAATACAACATTCATGTGCATTATTACTGGATTCATAGTGAGCTTTGTGGATTTCAGATCTGTGCAGTAATCCAGTGTGAGACTTCCGGCCTTCCGCTTTAAAAAGTGACAGAGGTACTAACCTCTAACCCAAGGGGGGCCCTCCAGCTGTGCTCTAACTACCAATCCCAACATGCCTTTGCATGGGGCCAATCACAGGCACCGAGACATTTCCCCATCTCTGCAGCTGCGGACCGGGTGCATGTCTCAGTACCTGTGATTGGCCCTGCGCGCTGACGGCTTCCTGGCGGGCTCGGCACGAGGCACGAGGCGCTTGCGAACACGCCCGAGCCCATCACTACTTCTGGCTGGTGCTGCCGCTGTTCGCAGTAACCGTTCAGCCGACATTTTGGTTTTAAGTGCAGCGCATTATTAAAAATAGGATGCGTCCTTTTTTTCCTGTTGTGATGCGTCAATGACGATGTACGAACACAAACATAACATGAGTCTTGATGCCGTGGCAACAGGTATTCAAAAGCCTCGGTCAATGGACGTTAACCCTCTACTCCCAATTATAAAAAAAAATGCATGGGGCGCGATTCATAAAAACTGGAGCAGACAAACTCTGGTCCATGGCGACCAATCAGATCCTGTTTCATATTCAAAGCTTAAAAGGAGAACTATGGGGTCAGTGTTTTTCCCCATAGTTCTCCTTAGGGTAACAGGAGGACACAAACTAGTGTCCTCCCATTACCCTAAGCTCAGTATACGGCGAGCTACAGCTCGCCGTATACTGAGACGCCGGAGCGGATCCCGACATGGACGTCGAGATCCGCCCAGCTGCGTGAGTGACAGCTGGCTCTGCCTATCTAGAGGCAGAGCCAGCTGTACCCGCCCCCTCCCCCGTCCGTTCCGCCAGTCAGCGCTGGCAGATCGGAGCAGGGAGAGGGGAATCCAGCCCCTTCCCCTGTCACAGCAGAGAGCCGTGACAGGATCGAGAGGTGAGGGAACCCGGTATGTGTTCGCTCACCTCCCGATCTACTGAGCCGACATGTGACAGTCTCATTGTCACAGGTCGGCTAGAACTATGAGGTGAGTGCTTTTCTGAGCAAACTCAAGAGGAGAAGCTGATAGGATCTGGAGTAGTTGCCCAGGGCAACCAATCAGCTTCTCTTTCCAGTTTGTTCAGTTATGCTTTGAGGATCTGATTAGTCGCCATTGACAACTGCTCCAGATACCGTCTCCTCCAGTTTTTATGAATACCCGCCAATATGCATGCCAGAGCGCATAAAACAAAACACGCATTGATACAAGACCATACACCGGGCCTCATGTTAAATAAAATGCACCTCTGTACACATGCACACTGTGCAAATCTCTAAAGCAGGCCTGACCGGTCTCCAATTATCCGTGGAATGCTGGAATACCTGACATACAATGGATATGATGACGCCGCGTCAGGCTTGTCATGCAGCCAGCAGACCAGGCCGGGTTGGTGCTGTACTGAAAAAAAGTCAACAATCCCCTCCCCCGCCCCATAGACACAGAGAAGGTTGAACAACTTTACACAATAGGGCGAGCGGCCTCCCTTCAACAACCCCTTCCCTATGTGTGCATACAAGCTGTGATCCCTATTCTTCATACAATCCCATCTGACAGCCGGGGCCGCACTTGTCGCGTGCCAAGAGAACATAGACGCATACAAGACATCCATGTGCACAAGCATTACATGTATGTAGAGCCAAACGTTTGTTATTTTCAGTTGTAAATAAAGTCTGGAAGGGATAAGACCCAGATCAGGTGCCGTCTCTGACCCTCTGGGGAGATTTCCCCTTCACTTCCGCTCACGGAGAGGCAAAAGGAAGTGAGGGGAGATCTCCCTAAAGTCAGGGGGTGGGCAAACAGCGGCCCTCCAGCTGTGGTGAAACTACAAATCTCATGATGCCTCTGTCTGTGGGAGTCATGCCTGTGGCTGTCAGTGTCTAGCAATGCCTCGTGGCAGTGGCGTCACAAGGGGGTGCGGCCCGCGTGACACCATTAGAGAGGCGACACCAAAATGACTGACAGTCATTTTGGTGTCACCCCCTCTAAAAAGTTGGGCACTCTGTCATGGACCGAGTGCCCGACAGTGTCCGGAGAGAGGAGGGGACCCGGTGGCATACCTCATCCCGCCGGGTGAACTTCCCATCCCGTCAAGTAGAAGGGCGCGCATTGGTAATGACGTCACGGCTGTAAGATGACCACGCATGCGCGATGATGTCACGGCCGGGGTGTCACCCGGTCTCTGCTGCGGGTGACACCCGGCCTCGGGACGCCCCTCCCTCATGGGATTTGTAGTTCGGCAACAGCTGGAGGGCCGGAGTTTGCCTACCTCCGCCCTAAAGTGAACAAACTACACCAGGGGTACACAAACTCCGGCCCGCCAGCTGTGGTGAAACTACGAATCCCATTATGCACCTGCTTCCGGAAGCCATGTCTGTGGGTTTTTGCCATCTCTGTCCCTCTGGGGAGATTTCCCTTCACTTCCTGTCACAGAGAGAGGCAACAGGAAATGAGAGGAGATCTCCCCAAAGTCAGGGGTGGGCGAACTCCAGCCCTCCAGCTGTGCTGAAAATACAAATCCCATGATGCCTCTGGGAGTCATGCTTGGGGCTGTCATTCTTAAAGTTCCTCATGGGATTTGTAGTTCCACAACCGCTGGAGGGCCAGAGACTGCCACCCCTGCCCTAAAGTGAACACACTACACCAGGGGCAGACAAACTCTGGCCCTCCAGCTGTGGTGAAACTAGGAATCCCATTATGCACCTGCCTCTGAGAGAGTCATAGGCAAACTCTGACCCTCCAGCTGTTGTGGAACTACAAATCCCATGAGGCATTGCAAGACTCTGACAGCCACAGGCATGACTCCCAGAGACAGAGGCATCATGGGATTTGTAGTTTCACCACAGCTGTAGGGCCGTAGTTTGCCCACCCCTGCCTTAGAGTGTTGTCATGGGAACGTTTGTCCCCACTGGAGGAATATTCTCCACCTCTTGCTCTGGTGACAACTGAAAATGTATAAATGTCCTGACCAATGGGGACAAAGAGATGGGAGAATCTCCCCATCAGAAACACAGAGAGTGATAAAGACTTAACAGAGGGTCTAATCTTCCCCTACTCCATCCAAAACTAGAAAATTCCCTTTACACACACAGTACATTGAAAATGGAAAGACGCTGATCAGTTGCCATGGGCAACTGCCTCAGCTTTTGATAAATTCCCCATGAGGTATTTCCTTCAGTTGCCAATCCTGAATGCTTGGAGAGTATCAACATTAAAGCAAATCTATGGCTTTGCTGTAATCAGGGGTAGGCAACCTCGGCACTCCACAGCTGGAGTGCCGAGGTTGCCAAAGGAAACACCTCAAGGTAAATTTATCAAAATCTGGAGCAGTTGTCCACGGCAACCAATCAGCTTTTCTCTTTCATTTTCAAAGCCGAACTGAACAAAACTGACTGAAAAGAGAGAAGCTGATTGGTTACTATGGACAACCGCTCCTCCTGGTACTTCTGGGTATAGAAGATCATGCTACACAGTCATGTGACAGCGCCAGGCCAATCAGGGCTGTCCCATGATAGCCAATATCCCGGTGTAAACTAGGACGCGGGGGAGAGGAAGGCACGTTTATACCTCTGTGGATGTCTGCCATTAAAGTGAACCTGTTGTTTTGCCCTGAATGAGCAAAGGAGAAAATATTTACTTCAAAAAGTGTTTACAAAACGGATCACGTGTTTGCACATAAAGTTTTCACAAAATATATTAAACACGGATCTAGTGTTTACAAAACGGATCTAGTGTTTACAAATAGACTGTTGAAGGAGCCGGGTGAAAAATTGTCAGCCGAATAGTGACATCAGCTGCAGCCATTGCCCGGGTAGACAGTAGCCTGGCGGGGGAGATTTGTTCATCTGCATGGATGGAGGAACCCAGTAAGGCCCATTCGTGCCATGTGCGTTTACCTGTGCACCGCTGGTAAACACAATGGGGGAATTGATCAAAACTGGAGCAGATGCAATCTGGAACAGTTGCCCATGGCAACCAATCAGCATCTCTCTTCAGTTTGCTGAAATGAGACAGAGAAGCTGATTGGTTGCCATGCAAATCTGCTCCACATTTTGTCTGCTCCAGTTTTGATAAATTCCCCTCCCAATGACACACAGGGCACATTTGTTTTCTATGGTTTATGTGCGCACTACAGCGCTGCGCTTATGCACGTTAAAAACGCAAAGCTTTCACCCTTTAACGCCAATAAAATGCGTCTGAACGTAAACACGCGATGAAAAGAAAAAAAGTAAAACGTACAAATTGAGGCCACAACAGGAAGGTGAATGAGGTCAGAGGGAATGCACCTTTAAAAAAAACGTAAATACAAAAACAGAGATACACGCATTAAATGTAAGAGCGTATGAACGCAGGGCAACGCACGTGCATTTTGTACGCCGTTTTTGTGAACGTCTTAGTGTGAACGGGCCCCATTACTTTCTTCGTTCAGCCTGCATGCTAAATTAAAGAAATCTGTCTGTGTGTGGACAGCTTACAACGCAAGGCAGCGCTACACACACATCGCTGTCACAAAGCGTACACCAGCCGTGAGCTACCAACAGAGAGGAATTTATCAAAACCGGAGCAGACAGAATCTGGAGCAGTTGCCCATGGCTTCTCTCTTCAGTTAAGCTTTAAAAATGAGCGATGAAAGGTTGCCATGGGCAACTGCTCCAGATTCTGTCTGCTCCAGTCATTGGCGTCACGGGGTTCAGCCCTCAATGGGTGATATCATCAGAGGGGGTGACACCAACATGACTGACAGTCATGTTGGCGTCACCCCCTTCTAAAAGTCGGGCACTCGGTCATGGGCCGACAAGAGAGAAGGGTGGACCCAGTGGCATATCTGATCCCGCCAGGTAAATATCTCCTCCTCCCAACAAGATGGTCACCATGCGGCATCGCTGTGCATGCGCAATGATGTCACACCACAGACATGGTAACGCATGTGCGGCTGCTGTACAAGGTGACACCCACCCTGGTGCTGCCGCTGGCTCCAGTTACCCCCCGCTGACTTTTAGCATGCAGCCGTTGCGCACCCGGCCTGCTTTTCCGTGATTCGCTTGAACGCAAGTAAAACGCACCTAGAGGGGAATTAAGCAAAACCAGAGCAGGCTGAATCTGGAGCGGTTTCTCATAGCAACCAATCAGCTTCTCTCTTTCAAAGCTTCATTGAACAAATTTAAGAGCGCTGCTTGGTTGCCACGGGCAACTGCTTCGGATTCTGCTGCTCCAGTTTCGATATGTCCCTCCCCCCAACAGAAAAGGGTAGACAACCCGCAAATATGATGACAAAAGCCATGGGGAAGAAAAGGGCATAAAAACGCACGTAAACGCGTAACGATCTGCGTCAACTCACCCGTGTTTTATTCATTCGTTCTAACCACAAGCCCTGAAAGTCGTCATGGAGACGTCGTCTTCCCTCAACCGCGCAACAGCTGGATGTATACGCTGCGTGAACAGGTCAGAGACATTATGAATATAAATAAGTAACATGACCCTTCCTGCTACCCATAGAAAATCCCCCCCCCCCCAAAAC